TTCTGGGTTGCAGAAACGACAATTTAGTGCCGTTATATTATAATTTATGGAGAGTTCGGTACATTTTTCGAATTAACTTGAACCGTATTCGCACAAATCGGGAAAAGTATGGTTCTGCCGATATTTTAACAAAATGGGAACTCTTAATCGCCAGAGATTATACGTACTGCAATAAAATTATGACACGTTTTGCAATTTCGGGGAATATACGTGATAACGTTTCCTGCGGCGAAGTGGAAATATTTACATCAATTTATAAAAATTGGATTATCACTCGTAACCAGAATATTTATTTTAATGCGAATGGTTTGTATCACGATATGGAAAATAAAGTACATAATGTTCTATCGGATTTATGAGAAAGCTTTTTTTCATTCTTTAAAATGAAATCAAATAATTTTTACATTGCAGCTTTCAATAATATATTCGTTAACATAAATAGAAAAATTACTCTCATCTCAATTCTTAGGTTTAGCTCTTTTTAGGAATAGATTGCGATAGGTTTAAGGTTGGGATTAGGGTTATGTTTGAGTTGATCATAGATTAGGGGTAGACTCGAGTTATGTTAAAATTTGAGTTCATTTTGGATTAGGTTGGATTTACATTAAAAATACGAGTTAAATTAGGAAGATGTCCGAATGGAGTTAGGACAGGGGTTAGTTAGGGTTTGTTTCGAATAGATTATCTACTAATTTATTAACTAATACATGTTTTTAATCTGAACATAATGTAAACATTACTGCATTATAATATAGTCATAAAGACAAATTCAATATTTTTTATTTAACGAGTACATTATCTTCTTAGAATGATATAATTAACAATTTCAACAACATACATTTGTTTTTAAAATTTATTTCGAGAACATAGAGGACAGTAAAAGTTATATTTTATAACTTTTAATTTGTAATAAATTTGTTCGATGTAATCATATAATAAGAAATTTGATAAAATTATTTTCGAATATTCTCTCTATATTATATTAAATGAAAATTTGACAAAAAATACACAAAATGAACAACTTTTCATAGAATGAAATTAAAATGTATCAAGATGACTGTTAAGCAAGCTGATATTGCTCTGAGGTATATAAATACACATTTAAAATATTTTACTGTAGTTTTCAATAATTATATCTATTTCTGTATCCCTGAAGCTATACTAGTTTTTTAAAGAATGTGGAATACATTTCTGAAGCTTATGATTTCTCAGCCTCCTAAATTCCGAATTTTCAAATCTCTAAAATTACCTTTAAAAATTCATAAGGAAGTCTTTGCTCCAGATTGTACTCTAAATATCCAAAATACTACATCTTTTTCCGGTACCAAAAAAGCTGTCCTCACACAAGGAGACTTCGAAACTGCAAGCTCGATTCAAGATTCAACAATACTTTTAACATCCAAGTAGTCCTAGTTCGGTAACTAAAAAGTTTAACCGTGTTCCAGTAACCGAAAAGTTCTATTTAGAGATCTCGGAATTGCTGTTTTGTTTCTTCATTAGACAAGCTCATCTCCGACAATCGAGAAAGTTAAATTTTAACAACTGCCAGGTTTAATGAACTGCATTCTCTTTTATGAAACTTGAACTTCGAGTTTGGTACGATGTAATTATCACTGTTAGTGTACTTCACGTATTTACCAGCGTCTTCACTGTTGAGAATGGAAAATCCGAAGGGAAAGTGAGAAATAATTTAAGTGAGAAATGAGAAATAATTTAGGAAATGTTATTAAGAAATTTTGTTAATAGAATGCTTGTTATTAGGAAATTTTTATATGTAATACTCTCTATAATCGTGTTAAATATAGCAGGAATAATAACAAATTATTTTCAGAAGTAATAACAAATTACTAGAGGTAATAATAAATTATTTCTTACGAGTAATAACAAATTATTTCTTAGAAATGCAACAAATTACTGTTTAGAAGTAATAACAATTAATCATTTATGTAATAAATAACAAATACAAAGTGCATTAAATTTATAGATAAAAGGTTTAATATTTAATTGTACAAAAACGTTTTTTAAATTATTGTGTTACGAGACCAGGGACGGATCAGAAGGAGCTAATGAAGGTGTCATCCCTTCTAAATTATATATTTAATAAAATTAATTTATTGTACCAAATAAAATTGTTTGCGCTATCTTAATTTTAAGCTTAATCTTTTCATAATCTTTATATTTATTCTTTTTCTTAGGATAATAGTAATAATGACAGTAATTGCGGAAAAATGTCATAACTGTTTGAATTCTTGTCACGACGAACCTGATAGTCTGATAGACCTGATAAATTTTTTAACTCAACATTTGAAGCAGATTATAGAAATTATATTTACACTATTACATTATAGTATATTTACTTATTATATTATAATGTAATAAAAAAATGAAAGAAAAGAATAAAGAATAAAGAACTGTAAGATAAATAAGAGAAGAGAATGAAGCCTTTCCACCCATATGGACATTTATGGGAACGTTATGGCCGATCTTCAAGCGAAGACTATAGTGACACTATGATCAAATATCCAACTTTTATGCAATACCTCTTTGGATATCAAAGAATACATGAAATCATTATAGAAACAACCATAGAATCAAGGATAGAAAAAGCAAGTGCACTTCAGAAGTCAATCAATAACTTCTTCGACCTTAGTGAATTCCAGTTTCAACAGGAAAAATTAAACACATCAAACTTTCATGAACTTACATCCTTAATAACAGTCCACTCGTGTTATGTAAAGCAGGTACAGTTACTCGATTTAATATTCAGACACTATGGTATTTGCGAAATTAAAGCTTTATGTTCTTACTTGCAATTTGATTATCGAATTTTCTGATCCATAATGAGTTAAAGCAAATATTTTAGTTTACAAATATGTAAAATTAAATCTTTAAATCAGTTTCATGTTACTGGTTGTAACAAACGAAAATTAGTGTGACGTAAACCGAATGGACAATTAAAAATAAGTAATATGAGACCGAGGATGAAACACAGTGGTGGAAGCCTGATGGTACGGGGCTGCATTTTTAGTGCTGGAGTAGGTGGGCTGGTTTTTATTAAAGGTATTATGGAAAAGAACAAATATTGAGATATATTAATAAAAAATTTATTAAAAAGTGCAACGAATATGGGTATACGCGACAGTTTTAAGTTCTACCAGGATAACGATCCGAAACACAAATCGAGAATAGTTCAGGAATATTTATTATATGCTTGTCCGAAAGTGCTTCATCCTCCACCACAATTACCGGAATTTAATCCAATTGAAAATCTATTGGACTTATTGGATCGTAATGTTAAAACCACCCCCATAAAAACAAAAGACGAATTAAAAATTCGACTGACGGAAGAGTGGAAACGCATTACTCAAAATTATTTAAATAAAATAATTTCAAACATGCCAACACGTTTGTGACACGTCATCAGACAAAAGGGATATCCCAAAAAATATTAAATTAATATTAAAATTATAAATTTGTTATTACATACATTCTAAATAAGAAAAAACTTTATGTAATATTAAGTGACCGAATATTTTTTCGACACCAATATCGGGTCTAATTTCGTTTATAATTTATTATGTGGAAAAAAATAAAAAATAAGGTTATATATATAAATAAATAATTTAATTTTACATATTTGTAAACTAGGATACGTGCTTTAACTCATTACGGATCAGTGCATGAGTGCTTTAACTCATTAATTTCGCAAATACCATAGTGTCCGAATATTAAATCGAGTAACTGTACTTGCATTCTAATTAGAATGTATAACATATAATTCTAGAAGGCAGGAAATACCATAAAGAACGAAGAAGATTAAATATTAAGGATAATCTCTTCGAAACAATCATCTCAACATTATACTAGAACACAGTGAGCACATTCTGCAAGACCATCTGAATACTCAACAGACCATAGCTATAGAACTTACAGTTTTTCTCCTTTTTCTTGACTTTTATTACTGATATGATGCATACTTAACTTACAAGTAGACGGTCGCTAATAATCTACGATGTTGATGCGATTTTAAACGTCGCGCCGTTCTAAATGCGGTTTTTTCTATTTCAAGAAAATACTTTTTCAGGATCACAATCTAACTTTGTTTTTCTCAAGTAGTGCAAACAAAATTAGAAGATAAAAATAACGATTAAAAGATATTTATTTTGACGACGTTTTTTAAAAAAGTGTTGTATCTATTTAAAGTTAGTTATTTTTGTATGAGCAGTATCATTATGTGAATTATAGTAATTACTGTTATAGCAGTTTGGTATTGAACGTTGCCATCCCTAATTATAGAAGGCCATTTATACATAGTCCAAAGGTTGTTTACAGGTGAAAATGTGCTCAAGGATAGAACAACCACGATGAATACAACATGGAAACTCCGAAGTAGTACTGAGAAAGTTTTGCATTGTGTGATGCCGAGGCATTTAACAACTGCTGAACTTCCGGTCCGGAACTTAAAAGCAACCTAGTCGCAACAACAGTCACCATAAAATACGTCTTACGTGGAACATATTTTGCTTACGACACGTATAACTTTATATAAGAATTTCTGTCAACAACTTCCGATGTCATATTATTAAATCCAATCTTCTTTTAGTGTATACGCTTATAGCACAGTTTGGAATATTCTGTACAAAATTAATTATAATAATTGCATTATCGTATAAACAGTCAAGTCTTTAATTTGAAAATTTGAGTTTCCATATTTTTCTATCGAAAAGATTTGTAAATTTTTAAATTCTAAAGTTTTGTGTATGAAAGTTAGATATGGAGATAATTTGCAAACGGGAAAATCTAAAACTTCTAATTTGCCAAAAAATTTGTTTAACTCTCAAAAATTGGGTAAAAAGATTTCAAATTTAAAAAGAACAAATTTATTACATACTTTTTTTATGGAATTGTAATTGTTTGCACTTCGATAATTTTTCAGTGAAAATTTTGAACTCTTTTAATATTGCTGTCTCCTTAAAATAAAATTATTTATATTAACATACCTGTAGACACTTTCATCGTACGATAGGAGGATTCGAACTGGTTGATTGATACTACGTTTTTTTACTTCATGTGCCGGCTCTATATGAACACCATGAATAACCTGTGAACCAAAGAAGAAAATTACAATTAAAAACAATTGAAAGTTCATCTTTCAAACAGGCATAATATATCGAAATATTTGACAATAAACAATATAATTTAAGAAACGAGATCTCCTTTAATCGAAATATACAATAACACTAAAACTACCAAGACGGTCAAATGACATTCATAAGTTTCCACAAGTTTCTTATTATAATTATGACTAAATTTTCATCGAACTAAAGAATGCGTATGTTAATTTATGTTCTGCTATTTACTTGTTTATTTTTCAATTTCATTATTAACTTCAAATTAATTGCAAATTATACGCTGGTAGATTTAGTGTTAAAAATGTATAGTATGTTCTTCAATAAACTGAAGATCACTTTCATTTCTTCATTCGAAAAATAATTCGCACACAAAAGATTGTTGTCACCGTGTTGCTAGTAAAATATGGTACAATTTTTGCTTCTTCCTAAAATCCTTACTGTATTCGAGAAAAACAAGGATCGTTCAGTATATGACCGTTTTGACGTTCAACATACGAAACATATTCTTTTAAAAATAAAATTCTCAAACGTTGACAATTTTTCGTACAAATTTAATTAACAATTTCACAGACAACCTAGCTGAAGTTCGCTGCAAATATTTTCGAGCAAATTACTTGGAAATTAATTGAGTTATGCGCGCGGCCAGTTTCAAACGCGACTTTGACAAAAATGTGTCCAAACTTTCGGAACAAACTTCCTCCATAATAACAGCGGAATTTCTTAACTTACTAAAGTGCAGCTATTCCAGAACCACAAAACATATATTTCTTAAATTGAGAACATCATTTCGCAGTTCGTTCAAAGCAACTTTTCGTTGGAGTTTAGTCGCATGTGTCGTTGCTTCAGCTTTTCGCTGCACAGCGAAAATACAAGGTGTACTACGCTTGTCGCGGCATGCGATTGCTTGCGGTCTAATTTTTATTCGAAGAACCTCCATTATTTGCAGTAATCCAGTGTAGCCATCGTTAAACAGGATTACAGTTAAATAAATGGCCAGCCGGACGATTCCAGCTTCGGTCGATGTTGTTTTAGGAGTAAATTTTCAAACGGGAGTATTGCGGTCTTGGTTATTATTTCATTTCGGGTGAAACCATGCAAGCTCTTAAGAGCTTTTTGTCGTTTAAATCCTCGTAAATTGAAGCAATGGCGGCGATTATATTAGCCACTATTCCTGTTTTATCCACGTAATCTAATAATTTAAAGTGGCGCACACAGAGAATAAAGAAATCCTTCAAAAAGAAAAGAATCATGAAAAATTCATATATCTTTTCCTAATATCACTGATACTTTTCGCAATCATTCTTTTATTTGTTTATAATGCTTTTTCTATTATTTTTGTACTTATTTATTAATTATGAATTTATTTTTTATGAAGTAACTCGAATTTTTTAAAGAGAGAACAAAAACTAGACTTTATTTTTTAAATAAGTTATTAGAATCACTTAATGAGTATCACTTACTTTTATTCGATTTTCAAGATCCGATAAAATTATATTAGCCGTGATTATTTCATGGACATCCTTTAAGACAGTGACGTACTCACAGGACAATAAAAAGACCACCCAAAAAAGGCCACAGAAAATTATTCAAAAATCTGTTTCTAATTAACATTAATTTTTCTGTGTTCATTTTAATATTTATTTATTCTATTTATTTACGTTATTTACGTTATATCTTATTTTTAAACTGCGTATTTATTATGAATTGACGTTTTATGAAATAACTCGAGAGTTTTGTAAAAAGAAACGACAACTAGATTTTATTCTTCAAATAAATTTATACATATATGTACAATCACCTAATGAGTATCACTGAAAATATCTTTATTCGTAAAGCGATTCTTGTTAAGATACAATCAAGATACTACTGATTTAGGGTGCGTTTTCACGCGATAATTTAATGCTATGATTTTATCGTCGTGAAAATTGGAGTTGTATTGCGATAACATTGAACTTTGTACGGTGAGTTTAATCTGATAACATTGAATTTTTTATGTTGCACGAATGTCGTTCATGACGAATATGTCATAAATTTGGTATTCAAGGAAATTAAAGGTCATACTGTGATTGTACTAATGTCATTGATGTCATTAATGTGTTAGGGTCGTAATATTAATAGTATAAGATTAACATGGGGTATGTTGAATTATTGTGCTACTTCAATTTGATAAATTTAGTTTACAGGCAAATAAAACTAATTTACTAGTAGAACGATCATTTTTATTCGATGACTGTAATTTTCAATTAAAGTATTTGCAGAGAGGAGAGTTGTGGGGATGATTTATATCATCATTATTCTTAAAGGAAACTTCAGAAAATCTATTGAACTGTTCACTATTTCTTGATTTCTGGTTGAAAAATTTGTACATTTATATACATTCACATTTAGAAATTTTATAATATTAGAAATTAAAAATTTAAGAGTTTAGAAATTTGAAAAGTTGAAAAATTGATAATATGTGGAATAAAAGGTATGAGAATTTGACGATTTATAATTTTGCAAATTCAAAGAAATTGGAAATAGAATTTGAGAGTTTGAGAAATTAAAAATTTGAAGAATTTAGAGTTGATAAATTTGGAAATTTAGAAACGTAAAAATTGCCAAATTAACAAAGTGGGAAATTAGAAATTTGTTAATTTGGGAATATGGGAATTTTGAGAATTGAGAATTTGGGAATGTGGAAATGTGGGGAATTGAGAATTTGGGAATATGGGAACATGGGAGTTGGTCATTTGATAGTTTGGTAATTTGGTAATTTGATAATTTGGCAATTTGGAAATATAATAATATGAGAATATGAGAGTATAAAAATATAAAAATTTGATGATTTGAAAATATGAAGATTTGGTGATCCAAATGTTTGACAATTTGCTAATAGGACAATTTAATAATCCAATAGTGCTGTAATTTGAAAACATAAAGATAAAAAACATAAAAGTGCAGAAGTTTAATGATTTGAAAATTTAGAAATTTGGTAATCTAAGAATTTGAAAGTTTGAAAACTTGTAAACTTAAAAATTGTTAACTTTGATATTAGTTAATATTAGATCTTTGGGCCTAAGAAGGGAGAGATCTTTCTCTCCCTCTGCAACTGTTCTTACTCAAAGGAAATTTACATTACACAAAGCGTGAAATTATATCTAAACAGCTAAGGATCGTTGGACACCACATATAAATATTCATTCAACGATCACCATTTGGAACACTTATATTCAGACTAAACAATATTTCAGTCCACATAAAAATCCAGTATTATCGTACGTTAACCACTCTAACACACTCTATTTTCTTCCTAAAAATAGTGTTAAAATACACATCAAATATTAATTTTACTCGACATTAATTTGGAGCACAATAAAAGTTAACATTCGAATTTATCAGTTTTTTCGACGCGGCTGTACGTATCTATTTCTCGTATAGTTATTCGATATTGAATGTTTCAGCAATCGTTTAGTGTTTCATATCTGTGAAATATTTCAAAATATTTCAATCACCATTTGCTTTAAAACTTCGTTCTCAGCATGCATCATTTAAATACCTTTAAAATTCTCACTCACTTCAACGCATGCATGAAGATACACGCTTCGAGCTTACACAGTATCTTCAGCTGTTCCGATGTACACGGTTCTCTCTGTGAATCGTTACATTTCAAACAATGTAAGTGCACTTTACTCTCAGAAATGTTTACTCCGGATGTACTGAATCATTTAAAAGAATGAATAGAACTATAAAGTATAATACTTCTCGCAGTTATTTTCTTAAGTTTTGAGAGCTCTTCTTCTCAGAAGTAGGATAATTGGAATAAAGAGATATTTGATATTTTTCACAGTTATTCTGTGGGGATTGAGAGCTCTTATTTGTAGAAGTCAGATAAGAGCAATAAAGAGATATTTTATACTTTTCACAGTAATTTTCGTGAGGATTGAGAGCTTTTACTTTTAAAAGAAAGATAAGTGGAATGAAGAGATATTTACATCAAATGCATTTTTTTAAATAGGTTAATAATGAATTATTAGTTAATTTATATATGTTCTCATTTTTATTCCATTTTCAATTTAAGAATTATATATCGATATAGTATTAAAGACCTAAAATTTTTATGGGACGAAAAATGTATTAACTCTGCCTTATAATGTTGTGTCATATCACTGTACAAATATGATAAATTGGACTTGTAATTTCATCATGACTCAATTTTAATTCTAGCTGCGATTTATATAAGCATCAATAGTAATAAACTAATGGGGCTATAGAGCAGGTACCTCGCATATACTTGAATGTGTGTTTAAAATTTAGAGTACCTACTGTAAACACGCAGGTAGACCAAGAACGAGATTTTTAAATAGTCCCGAACGATTACACGTGTCTAAAACTATCGCAGCTCTACAAACAGGCTGCCTCACGCGAGTTCAAAAGTGTATTTAAAATTTAGAGGACGTACTGTAGACGTGTAAGTAGAACATAAATGAGATGTAGAGATATAAAAGTCGTTTCGAATGATTACACGTGTCTGAAACTATCGCAAATGATACCAAATACGACTACTGTTGATTCTACGACTGACGTCAATGACGATCAAGTGTAATTGTCAACGATATGTTGTAGAGCTTTTAACGTGGTTCTATTCGATTCTATGTGTTAGAAATTAGCGAAAACGATACCAAAACACGGTTTTTTATCGATTAATCAGCGATCAATGTCGATGACGACGGTTTCCTGTCTCGGATTGCTGCCAAAATCTATACAGCAAATTTAGGGTGCCTCACAAGTCTACACTCAAAATTTCAAGTGAAAAAATCCAAAATTGTAGTACGGATAAATAAACAGATAAACGAGTCGTCAACGGGAGTCTTACTACTTTCTGCAAATATATATGGCATCTTGTGCTTTTTTTTATATTTTCATATTATAGTGATAATTGAGTTAGCTCTGGAAAAATCGTAGGTTAAAATGTTAACGCTTAAACTAC